TGCACACACAAAACACACACACACACAGACACAAACACATACATACATACACATGCACACACACAAACATACATACAAACACATACATATATACACATGCACACACACAAACATACATACAAACACACACAAACACACATAGATACAAACACACACATACATATACATGCACACACAAAACACACATACAAATACATACATACACACAAACACATACACAAACACACACACACACACACACACACACACAAAGTGACAGTTTCCTGCAAAAATAAAACTAACCCAAAGAGGGACGGAGGTTGAGAGGACAACGGTGGTTAGAACAGGGACAGATGTGGGAGCCATGGTTGACTGCTGAGCTGAAGACATCATTTGCTTGCTGAGGGAACTCTGGGGGTGCACAATGCACACACGACAGTAAATAGGCACCCAAAGGTGCTGTGGGTTATAAAGATGGCTGTTCTTAACCGAGGACATTGCCAGTTCGGTCAAGGAGAAGGCCCAGAATCCCACTTTTTAAAACACTAAACAAATGCAGGTTTTAAACTATGAATAGGGTACTGTACAGGGCTTGAACTCTGCATCTAAGCTGCGGGGGATGAACTGGTCAGCTCTGAGTTGGAAGAGGTGTGCAGAGAGGCAAGGAGTGTGGGACATAATTGCATAAAAATAAATTTTAAAGCTGCACACCCAAAGAAGAAACGGGAAAGTTGTTAGGGTGAGCAGCAGGCTTTCTAATTAGTGCCTGCTCCTTGTGACTGGCTAGTCTCTCTTGCCAGCACCTTCCAGGCACACACTGCAGGGGCCTGGGAGGTGGCTCCCCACAAGGTCCTTTGGGGGTTGGCTACAGAAGTGGGGGAGCACCCCTGCTCAGGTGACCACTTTTGCCTCTTTGACCATGCTACACTTCCAAAACAGAGGGCGTCCCTAAGAAGGGATGGATGCCAAGGCGGGGAACACGACTGTCATTGCGCCTTGCGCTGCTGCCCCTCAGTTCCCAGTGTGAAAATTGCAAATTAAATCCCAAGTTGCTGCCTTAGGATCAGCACCTAGGGGAAAAACCAGAGTCTCTCCTAGCCATAAATATCCCTCGCTCCAAGACGCCTGACGTCAGAGCGGGGCGGGCGGCAGAGCGAGGCCGGCCGGGAGGGAGGGAGCAGCCTGCTTTCTCCCGAGTCCCGAGCAGCTAGGGACCGAGCTGAGCCTGCGGGAAGCCGGGACAGCAGCAGCTTTGCCGAGCCATGCGGGCCTCAGGGTAGGTGCATCTCTGTGCAGCGCGGGGAACCTAGGCGCGGGGGGGGGGGGGACATCACCACACTTTTCTTGTCGCTTCACTTTTCCCTATTGAGTCGGCGTCGGAAAGGCAGCCCCTCCACCAGCTGCCTGTTTTGTTCTGGAAAGTGTTTGCAGAGATTCTGACCCCCAAAGTGGGCTGCCGGGAGGCTGCTTGTGCGCACAGGGGGAGGAGACGGGAGTATGTGCATCAGGACACTCTGTACATGGCTTTGGACAACTTCGGAAAACTTTTTATAGTGGCTTTGGAATCAGACTCCTGTTGGCTTGAGTGAACAAATATAGATCGCACCTCCTCCCCCAAAGCTGACAACTTCTTTGGAGCACACTTTGCCCATTTCGGTGAGTGCATTCTCTTAGGTGAAGTGAAGTTTTTCCAAGCCCCAAGCAGGCAGGGCCTTGGCAAGCAAGATGGGCAGCCCAGTGGAGGGGCTCTTGTTCTCCAGATAGCGGGACCTCGGGCAGCCAAGAAGCATCTGGGAGAGGTATTCCCAGGCTGTGGCCCTTGGCACCTGTGTGACAGCCCAAACTCTTTCTATGTCACGGTTGAACCGTCTCAGTGGTGGGATTCTGGCTTAACCCATTAAGGGTCTAGTGTGACCACATGTATTGCGGGGCAGGGTGGTGAGGGGAGAGGAGGAGGAGGGAGAGGAGGAGGAAGGAGTGGAGGAGGAGATAATGATGACGGTGGTGCTGCCTGCCGGCGCTGTAGTCCTGTGTCCAGCCCTGCCTCAAGAACTGGGTGGATGTTTCTGCCCCATGGGCCCATGGTGGGCTAGCTCCAGGTTCTCTGGGGGGAACACAGGCTGCAGTGCCCAAAACAAAATGTATACTAGTAACATAAAGAGACTTGTCTGAGCTGTGGGCAGAGGGAGGGGGTGCTGGGGGAGAGCAAGAGAGATTTTTATCAAAATTGAACACAGATTGCTGAAGTCTGGTCTTGGTTTAACTCTTCTGTCTCAGCAGTCCCTGGGACTCAGCAGCCAGTTGCTGGTAGGAGGGTAGGAGGGAGACTCACATCTCTGCAGCGCAGAGTCCCCGGATGCTTGTCTGAAAGCCCCCAGGGGGAACAGAAGTCACTTTCTGACTTTAGAGAGGTTTCCCAATTTTGTGTTGTCCTTCTGGGTGTTGTGTCTACTTCTGGGGTTTGAGGTTTTCTGGAAGAAGGCAGGGACAGTGCTGTGTTTGGTGGCCACAGGGGTCTATCAGCCAGAGACTATACATGCACAGGCCTGTGTGTGTCCATAGCAGGGATCACAAACAAGTGTGTGTGTGTGTGTGTGTGTGTGTGTGTAGAGAGAGAGAGAGAGAGAGAGAGAGAGAGAGAGAGAGAGAGAGAGAGAGAGAGGAGACGGAGAGGGAGAATGAAGGGACTAGGGGAAGGAAATCTGGAAATAAAACCACAGGAAGTTGAGATTTGGGGAGGACTTTAAAAATTATACAAATTGACCCCCTGGGAAGTGCCGGAAAAGGCTGAGCAGGCAGCAATGTCATGAAGAAGGGTCATGTGAGCCCAGGGACAGAGTGTGTAAGGGGTAGCTGGGCTCTTGTGAACGCACATGCTGATGCCTGTTTACACATATGCAAACATGAGTGTGGGGTCAATTCTTGCCTTGGGCATGGAAGCATTTCTGCTACTCCTTCATGGACACCGAAAAACCTCATTCCTCCCCCAGTTTTTCTTTTTAAACAACACACACACAAAAAAATACACAACGGTGCTATCATTGTCCTGTTCTTGAGGAGTTGTGCACACTCTAGTGTCTGACTCTTTGCCGGGTTTTCAGAACTTCTCCAGATCCTGGAAGACTCGGGGAATACTTGTGCCCCCATCAGGACAAAAAGAGGAGAGGCAAACTCTGACTTTAGGACTGGAGAAGGTGGAGGCTGGGTGGGCAGGATCACAGCACAGCCAGCCAGAGTCGGGGTGCTTTTGTGTCTGGGGAGCTGGGGGCTCCACTGAGAACCTACTTTCTCTCCCTGGTCTATCCTGGTCTCCGTGCTCTTTGACTCAATACAGGAATGGTCGCTATTACTCGGCAAGCCTTTGATTCAGAGTCAAAACTGAAAAGAAGTTTGAGTATTAAATAGAAGAGAATAGGTAGAAACAAGGCTTGGGGCTTTCTCCTTTGATTTTCCCAAGGCCAGTGAAGTACTGAGTTCCCTTACTCCAGTCAACTGAAGTGGAAGATAATATGAATGCTGTTAGTAGTCAAAAGCAGAGGGAACCCTGAGGAGAACTTCCAACCACATGTTTTTGCCCCAGGCCAGGGATCCTCAGAGAGCCCACAGCAAGAGGGAAGCTGTCAGCTTTTACAATGCCAGGGTTTCTCCAGACACATCTGGGGAGTCTTTCTCTGGGTCTCTATGTCTAAGGGCACACTACACAGAGTTCAGACTGGAAATGAATTTCCATGCCTTCCACACTGAGCTTCAGTCTCTGGCTAGCTTCTTCTCTGCAATCTGATTGGTTGATGCGTTATCAAGGCACCCAAGCCATCCCTAAAGGCCTGCAGGGCAAACACTTGGAGAAGGAACAACACTGGTTTGGTAGCCGATGATTCTCTAGGTCTTGACAGACAGCCTTGGGGTACAGAGGCAGCCTGCATTGGGAAGACAGTGAGGACTCCCAAGAAGCCCGCTTCAGGGCTGACAGAGACTTATGTGAGGAAGAGTATCCTGGCAAGGCTAGTCGCTTCCTCATCTGGAGAGTGAATATAGGGAGCATGGTTAGTACAGTGTTTACATTTATGATAAAAGAATAAGAACAGAACCAGGGTAACACGGACTCTTAATAAAGGGAATATTACATTTTTCAACATTCAGTTTTTCCGTCTTCAAGAGCTTGAATGATATGGGTAGAAACATCCCATCCTGATGTGGTTTTATATTTTCCATGATGCCAGACCAATGGCTGAAGTGCCCAAGCCTCAGTTTATCCCTGTTTCCTGCAGGAAAGGTAACTAGTGAGAATTGCTCCTGAGTATGCCCAGGATGCTGTTATCCTGACGACTGAGGCATGATGGGAATCTCTCTGTAAGTGAGCTGTTTAGAGAGGAAGAAGTCAACTGCTGGGCTGTGTGTGTGTGTGTGTGTGTGTGTGTGTGTGTGTGTGCACGTGTGCCTGTGTGTGTTGTGTGTGTGTGTGCGTGTGTGTGCGCGCGTGTGCCTGTGTGTGTGCATGCGTGTGTGTGTGTGTGATACAGTATCCAGGGTGTGTGTGTGTGTGCATGTGTGCATGTCTGCGTGTGCGTGTGTGCGCGCGCGTGCGTGTGTGCACGTGTGCCTGTGTGTCTGCATGCGTGTGTGTGTGTGTGTGTGTGTGTGTGTGTGTGTGTGTGATACAGTATCCAGGGGAGCCATCACTACCCAGACTATGAGGCATCTATGCTGGAGGGAGCAGCTGCAGGGCCTCCTGCCCCATCCCAGAGCTTCTAAGTCATCCTTCAAGTTGACATTTAAGACTTTGAAGATCACATTTGTTTTTATTTTGTTTGAGCTTTCTCTTTAACCGTGGCCTGGGATGACTTTTAAGCTTTTTAAGAGGCTCAGTCAGTGGCCAGCTTCTCTTGAGATGGCCCAGATTGGGGGTCAGTGAATTCCTTCTTCCTGGCCGCATTGATTGCTTCCAACTCTCTGCTCACATTTTTTTGGTTTGTTTGTTTTTCGTTTCGTTCTGAGGCCTTCAGACTGCACAGCTGAGATGCTGCCGAAGGAGGAGGTGCCTGGCTCTGAACCTGTGTATCATTTTTAGGGCTTCCTAGGTTCATCAGACATTGGTCACTTACAGGAGCTGTGGGTTCCTTCCTGGGTTCTCTGAAAAGGAGGACAATTAGTAAATATTGGCTGAATGAATGACAAAATATCTCCTGGTATTGCTGTGGTATTTAAATGAAACCATGTGCCTTTGAATCGTGGAGTGCTACTCGGATATGCAGCCCATAGATACTGAGCAGTTTCATTACTGTTGGCCTCCCTTAGGAATGAGTGGCCACCATGACGTCTGTGAATCAGGACAGTGTTTGGGGGGGGTTGTGTATGTGTAATGTGCATGTGTGCTTATGCATGTTTTTTACGTGTGCCTGTGAATAAGCAAGCACGTGTGCATGGGTGCCTGTGGAGGACTAAGATTAATGTTGGAGATGCTTTCCATCACTCTTCCACCTTATTTACTGAGGCAGGGTCTCTCAATCAAACTCAGAGCTCATTGATTTGGCTAGTCTCCCTAGCCAGCTTCCTCTGGGCATCCCCTGTCTCCATGGTTCCAGCCTGGAATTGAAGGCACACCACGCCACCCACCCAGAACCAACTTGCATGGTTTTCTGAAAATCTAAACCCAAGCATTTTAACCACTTAGATATCTCACCAAACCCTGTTTGGGAGCTCACTGTTTTTGTCTTCTTGCTTGTTTTGTTGTTAGGATGTATTAATTTTTATGTTATGTGCATGAGTGTTTGCCTGCATGCATGTCTATGCACCGGTGTGTGGTGTTTGCAGAGGCTAGAAGTAGCCATCGTATTCCCTGGAAGTGGAGTTGCAGGTGGCGGTTCAGCCTCCATTCCGGTGCTGGGATCCAAAGCCCAGCTCCTTGCAGGAGTAGCCAGTGCTCATAACCACTGAGCTGTCTCTGCACCAGCAATCTGAGAGCTTTAAAACAGGATGTATGGCAAGCTTCCTCCCAGCTCAGTTTGTGGATGAGTGAGCTGCCAACCTTCTGTTTGTCCCAACAGAGAGTCGCATGGGGCCACCTTGTCCCTGGAGTGGGGAGCACAGATGTGTGCCCCACTTTTGTATAAAAATCTCATCTCCAGTCAGATACCTCATCTTTGAATAATGGCTGATTTCCTCGGACTCATGGACCAATGGCCAACTCATGGGCATTCTGAGCTTAGAACTGGAGCCAAGAAAGGCATGAGCATTTCACTGGGCATTGGGTGCTTTTCTAGATCCTTCCTATGGAAGTTCAGTTCATCTCCAGCACAACCCTGAGGTGCAAACAAGTTTGTCTTTCTCATTAAGTCTAAGAAGATGGGGAGTGGCTGATGCTTTGAGCCTGGGTCTCATTCTGAACCTGGTGCTCAGTGACTTGACTGACTGGCTAGTGAGTCCCAGGATGTGACTTCACTTCCCAGGTTCGCCCGGATCTTGTTTTAAAATGTGGGTCCTTGGGGGTCTAACTCAGGTCCTCATGTTTGTATGGTGAAAACTCTAATGACTGATCCGTCTTCCTAGCTCAGCACCAGTAGTTTTATAAGCTCCCCAGGTGATCTGAGGTCCAAGCTGAAGAGCCCCATCTAAGAGGAGATGGCAAAGTACCTGTCAGACCCAGGTCACATGTGAAGCCAACCGGTTCTGGCTGCATGATGGTGGTCAGGAGGCTGTAGGCTCCACCTGTACCCCAGAACCTAGAATAATGCATGGAGCAAGGAAGGCAATCCATAAGTTTGCGTTAATGAATGAATGAATAAACCAAATACCACAGGTGAGGCACTTGCAACTGCAGCAGCCAGATCCAGCCTGTCATCTGTTTTATAAATAAAGTCCTATAGGAACATTGTTTATTGATGTTAGCCTTGAGTGCCATCCAGTTTGTTCTGCCATTGTTTATGTCCGTTTCTTCCTGACTGTCTATGGCTGTTTTCATGCCACAGAGGTGTGGGTGACAGGGACTGTAAGGCCTTCAAAGCAAGTGCAGCAGCACTGGGAAGATCATTATAGCATGGCCTTAAGAAGGACCTTCTAGAATAGAACTGAAGAGTAGGGGTAGGGAGATGGCTCAGTTGTGATCCTTCAGAAACACAAGAAACTCAGTGTGAACACCTAAAACCATGTAATCCCATTGCTGAGAGAAGAGAGAGAGAGAGAGAGAGAGAGAGAGAGAGAGAGAGAGAGAGAGAGAGAGAGAGAGAGACCCTGTCTCAAAAACAATGTGGACAGTGCCTGAGGAATGACACCCAGTTTTACATCTTACACACACACACACACACACACACACACACACACGTACACACATGCACACACATACAAACATGCATGAAGGTGCACACAAACATACATGCACAACACATCAAACAGAACAAAGAAGAATAGGATTTTGGAGTCAGTAAAATCCAGGTTCCTTCATTTCTAATCTGAGAGATGGGTGTTTGGGCAAGCCAATACCATCCCAGAAGGTTAATGAGGGTTACTGGCACTTAGTGGGGAACTTTGCAACTAGTCAAGAGGAGAGAATGTTAGATGGTTAGAATCCAAGTGTGAACCCCTCTTCACCAGGTGGGGTTGGGGAAGAAGGGCAGAGAGCTGTCTGGCATGGTGGGGGTGATGTGAGGTTTCTGAGGTACAGGCGTCCCAGCAAAGCGGCAGCTGAAAGTCAGGCCAGGTTGGGTGGGTGAGGCACACCCATGGGTGTGTCCCCAGGAAAGCCTGTCAGCCTGTTAATGTGGGTTTTACAGCACCAAGTGTAGTCAGAGGAATCCTCGACTCTATTCCCTTGTTTGTAGTTCTGCCTACATAGAAGACCATTCCACTTCGGTTTTCCTGAAAGTTCGCTCAGACACCCTGTCTCTCGTGGTTCCCCCTGGAACTCACTACACTGCTCGGCAATGACACTTAGCATCTCACCGTGGTTACCTTCAGGCCCGCCATAAATCCCGGACTCTTAAGAGCCAAGACACGTTGCAGAATCCTCCCCTCTTAGCACAGGAGTGTAGTCACAAGGTAACACTGGGGCAATGGCCGAGCCTCATCCTTGTGCTGATGGAAATGGCAGAGCACAGAGCCACCATCCCACGGGCAAGGACCACCCAGCTCGTGTGTGATGTAGTTGCTTGTGCCCTGTCCCTCTACCCCTTCAGGGACCCCTACCGTCTAGAGGCTTCTCTTCGTGGGTAGCCAGGGAGATGGAATGATGGGATAAATGGAAAAGCAACGCTTAGAGTCCTTGTCAGCAGATGTGAAATGTGGCATCTTTGGCTTTTCTGACTTCTCATGTCTGTACGTCAAGACCATTGGGCATCGGCTTGGCACAGTCAGATTTCAATAGTGTTCACTGATTTAAGAACAGAGACGAGTTGAGGTCATAGATGACACCAAATAGCAGGGGAGCCCCTGGGGACACTGCTTTATAGATTTTTTAAAATTTAAGTTTTTACAATATTTCATTTTCTAATTCACTTTATGTGGATGGGCATTTTGTCTGCATGTATATCTGTGGACCATGTGTGTGCCCATGAAGGCCAGGAGAGCATGTTGGATGCCCTAGAATTGGAGTCACAGATGGTTGTGAGCTCTCAGGTGGGTGCTGGGAATCAAACCAGGGTCCTCTGCAAGTGCGGCCAGTGCTGTAAATTGGTGAGCTGTCTCTACAGCCCCTGCTTCATAAATCTTAGCAGCACATCTTCTTTGGTGGTGGGTATAGACCGTATACTACTGCTCAAATGATGTCTTTTTGGAATGCCTGTAGGAAGATCACATAAAACTCTTCCCCTTGAAGTAAGTATTTCTTTTGATAATCCCCAAGTGAACCATGAGGGACTACGTTTTAAAAGCCCAGGGACTGTGGTGGTGTTCAGACGGGTCCCCACCACAAACGTGCTGTCATGTGGGTAAGGGCAGATGAGTCTGTCAGTGAAGTGCTGGCTGTGTGAGCATCAGGACCCAAGTTCAAACCCGGCGCCCACGTGGTAATCTCGGTGCAGAGGCAGGAAGCACAGCATTGGGGGCGTGGAGACAGGTAGAACCCCAAAGCCTGCTGCCCAATCGGTGTATCTGGAATGGTGAGCACCAAGTTCAGACAAAAGGGGGAAGTGTGCTGAGTGATAGAGGAGGACACCCAGCGTCACCCATGAGAGAGCACACTCATTCACCCCCACATACACACTGCCACCGCCGCCACCACCACATAATAATTCTCATCTGGCCATGCCTGTGGTCCAGACTGACACCTGTGAGTTAGAGACACTGCATCCCTTTCTCACAGAGCTGTCAGCATAGCTGGTGGCAAGGCAGTGTGTGACGTGACTTAGCCTAGAGCCTATAGAACTCCACACGCTTTAACAGCGGGTAGGAACTTATTTCGAAGGAACCTGTGCTTCTCTCCATCTCTGCTGGAGGCTAGACACTATGAAAAAGAACATTTTCTCCATGGGGAGATCTGTCCTGACCCCTTCTAGGAGACAGCAGCTGATGTTTCTCTGAAGGGTTGTATCATAAAAAGACTGGATAAGCTATGTGGTGACGCCACATTCCCCTCTGCTTCTGACCCCAAGCTCACCCGAGGGGAATGGGTTTATACAGAAGCATGACCAGACAGACAGCTCTGACACTGCCCTGTCTGCACGCGGGATAGGGCTGGGTCGGTTGGCCTCTGGAACCCTCTCCACCTTCCTAGGGCTTTCGCAATGTGGAGAATGGTCTTGGTGGGGATCAAGATGCCTCCCTGGCCGTGTAAGTTTTCGCGTCACACCTGTGTGGATACCTCTGCCAGACCCAACTCCTTGTGAATGTTTATTTCTTGCTTCCCTGTCCCCAGCATCCAGGCTGCTGGTCTGGCGTGGTGCCTTGAGCATTCCACCCCTCGGGCTATGTACACTGATTACCCAGCCTGCGTGCCAAAGCAAAGCTTCTTATGTGAAACAAGCTTCATGTGCCAAGCTCAGGGACATGGATTCACAGCCCACCCTCAGGCTGCCGCCCCCAGGGACGCTCCCTTGTTTCCTCTGAGGCACCACAGCCCCAACTTGACGTCCTCTTGACCAGGGCAGGGTGGGAAGAGAATGCCACCAGGTGACAGAGGTCCTCTGAGGGAGCTATGTCAACACACCCCCAGCCAGACAGAACTTCAAAGTTTGTTGGAAATGAATTCAGTTTCTGTGGACTTTGGCAGTAGAACCTTTTTAGCTCTCACTTTTGATTATTTTTTATTTTTTGAGGCAGGGTCTCCCATATCTCAGGCTGGCCTTGAATTTTTGAGCATCTTGCCTCTGCCTCCCAAGAGCTGGGATTACAGGTGTGCATCAGTGTACTGACTTTAACCAGTGCTGGGGATTAAACCGGGGTGGGGGATGGCCTGGGGTTCTAGGTAAGCACTCTACTGAACCACACCCCCTAGTGCTTGTTGCGGCTCTGTAGGCTTCAACGGACGCTGTAACGATACGCGACACACAATTACTGAAAGTAAAGCTAAGTATTTAATGTAGAAATTACTCACAAGATACCAAACCCAGAGGAGCCAAGCAGTTTTTAGCTGTCGGACCAGAAGCCGAACTCCAGGAAAAGAGAGCGAGACTTCCTGTGTGCTGTCTTTTATGCCTTCCCCCGTAACGCCCCCTAGCCATGCCCAAGTGGGGCATGGCTAGTGACGTAGTTCCGCCTACGTACGTATACGTCTTTACATCCAGCCGTATACGTCTTTAGTCCTGCCTAAAGTGGGTGTGGTTAGCGGTGTGGTAAACCGCCCTTTTATTACCTCATCTGTATGCACCTCTAATAAGTCACATGTTTAATGGCGGCATCAGACTTCCTCCTACAGCTCTCTGTTTCCAGTATTCATCCGTGTATTGAGACATTGCAGTTGGACAGAGATAGAACTGGGACCTGCACACATGCACACACACATGCACACAAATAAATACATAAATAAAGATTCACACTGACTTCTTACTAAACTTTTGTGTGAATTACAAAATAGAGCTTATGTCTTAAACAAAACAGAGCGTAATTGTGTACAGTTCAACAGAAACTGGACAAGCGTGTATTCAGTGCTCAGACCAAGCAGCAAACATTCCAGACCCTTCTTCCCAAGAAGAAGCCAGAGCCCCAGTTCTGGGTACTGTCTCTTACATAAGCCCGACTTCTCGCGCTGTGAAACAGTGTTTTGTCATGAGCTTCTCAGGAACAGAAGCGTATGTCAGGCCCTCACTGCTCTGGCTTCTTCAGCTTCCTAATGTTGCATAGATAGTACGTTCTCACTGGTGTGAAATATCTCACTTGGAGTGTAGCAATCCCTCTGTTTATCCACTCTTTGCTTATGGGGCACTTGGGCGGCTTCTAGGTTTGAGGCTGCTGAGTACGTACACCTGTCATCACTGGGCGATCACTCAGATGAATTCTGTAGGTGCATTCCTGGGAGTGGACTTGCTGTCTCATTGGGATGTGAGTATTCATTATTAAAAAAGAAAGGTCAGTTTTTACTATTCTATTTCTATGATTGTCTCTGGGTATAAGAACATGAGTGTGGGTCCCCACAGCATCCAGAAGAGGGTGTCAGACCCCCCTGGAGCTACACTATAGTCAGTTGTAAGCTGCCCAGTGTGGGAGCACTAAACCTGGCCTCTGCAAGTGGTCCTAATCCCTGAGCATCCCTCTAGCCCCTCCGTTTCCTTATAGATGAAGAAACAGGTAACACTGGTGGTGCAGATGTCTGGGGTCGATGGGTCCTTCATGTTCCTCCTGTGTGAGCCTTTGTACATTCTGGGAAGCCCGGCAGGAGGCAGTCTACCCCAGGCGCGGTGCTTGGGGCTTCAGATTTCTCTGCTCAACCAGATCCTTGCCCCAACTTTTGAGATGAGTATATTCAAGGTCTCTCATGACTGAGGAGCCTGAAGCTCGGATGAATAGACATGAGTATTTCTCCTCTCCTCTTCTCTTCCTTCTATGTGTGTGCGTGGTGTGTGTGTGCGTGGTGTGTGTGTGTGTGCATGTGCACGTGCGTGGTGTGTGTGTGTGTGTGTGTGTGTGTGTGTGTGGTGTGCGTGTGTGCGTGCTTGTGTCTGTGTTTGCCACAGTGTGCATGCGGAGATCAGAGAACAGCCTTCAGCAATCAGTTCTCTCCTCCCACGGTGAGCTTCAGTGGATCAGCTGTTAGGCTTACACAGCAAACACGTGAACCAACTGAACCATCCTGCCAGACCCTTCAGTGGCTTCACCTAAATCGTATGGGAAGAGACCTGTCAGAGCCAGGGTGAGAATCTGAAATGCCCGAGTTGAAAGCTGCTCACTGTAGGATCCCTGGGATGGGGGCTTCTTTTAGCTTGGGGGCTCCTTGGGGACTGTCTCCTTAGGACTCGTGTAGATGGCGAAAGGAGATGCTGTGGAAAGAGAAGCCAAAATAAGGCAACTGGATGGCCTTGGGAAGCCAAATTGCTTTTCTACCCAGGGACAGTTGGAGAAAGTCATGAGTTTCCTGGAAGGCAAAGGCAAGTATATAATTTGCTGTCCTCACCAGGACTCTCTTGAGAGTAAATGGGTGCTTGCTATATGGGATTGGGGAACAGACACAGACTGAGACTGTCACCAGTGAACTGGGATGACTGTTCACGCCACTTGTGTATTGAGAGCATCATTATGGCTACATAGTGACCGTGAACCCCTGATCCCTCCACCTCCATCTCTAAGGTGCTGGGATTGCAGGTGTCACCACCACGGCAGCTTCTGCAGTTCTGGGAATTGAACCCAGGGTTCCATGCATGCTGGGCAAGCACTCCACCAATCACGTCACATCCCCAGCCCTCCATGGTTTATTTATTTTAATCCACACCATCTGTCTGGAGTCGTGGGCAATGTTTTTTGTTCATATTAGGACTGGATCTGGTTTTCTTCCCCTTTTCATACCTTTTCCTGCCAGATGAAACTGTGGCAAGCTGTTTCCCCTGGGTCAGAGGTCACTGTGCTGTCACTTCTTCCCAAGAAGCTTCTAGAAGGCTAGGGTTCACTTTAGCCATGGTGGCACTGATGACTTCTCAGGGGCACTTGCTAAGTTCCCTTTTATCAGCATTTCACTCCCTCCTCCAGCTGGTCTGTCCATGTGCAGAGAATGGGGACTCAGCCATGACTCTTTCCTTTTTCTGAGCTCCCCCCTCCCTCCCTCCCCCCTCTCTGTGGGGGGGTGATTAAATTTGTAGTGGAGTCTGTCTGCGGGCACTCGGGATGAGGAGGTAGGTGAACTTCTGCCTTCCCCTAAAACACTCACCCATCTTCTACAAGCCACTGGGCTTTCCTCTGGCTCAGTCTTAGCCGAGTGAGGATGGACATGACGGCCACCCCAGGGGGCAGGACTAAAATACTTCAGGCTGGGGAGCAGTGTGCAGTGATTACAAAGCTTGGTTAGTTCTTAGCTGTTAGGAATTGCGGTTGGGCACTGTGAGGGGGAGAGCTGGGTGCTGGACCCTGTGTGCTGAGTTGAGAGGACAGTGTTTGTGATAGTTCTGAGGACTGGAAAGCGTTCCTAATAAATAAAGAATCAGCAAAAATTTCAGGGCCACCGGCATTTGACATGAGTGTCAAAGATAAGGATGAAAAGGGTAATTAATGTCTTATTAAGTCCACAGCTGTGTTCCACTAGATTCTGGAACAACAGTGAGACGCATGGGAAGGCGAGGTTGTGTTCCCCAGGGACTTCTGGAGAGCTGAGGGCCTCTATGCTCTGCAGATTCCATGACCCCGAGGAAGGGAATGCAGTGCCACTCACTAGGAGGATAGCCTTGGAACTAGAGTTCAAAGTACTCTGGGCTGGAGGAAGAAAATATCTGTAACCCCCCTCTCCTCCCTCAGCTTGGGAAGAGGGGCCCGGGAAGTGGGGACAGGAGTGTCCCCAGAAGCACACAGGACAACAAAGAACAGGTAGGTGAGTACCAACACCCGCCATTGTCTGTGACCTCCATGTGCGTTCTGTGGCGTGAGCATTCCAACATTTACGGGCAGGTATGTGGGTGCCCACGTGAACACATACACACCATGCAAGCAAACGCAAGCGAGAAGATGTAAACCTTTTAAGTTAAAATGTATTCAGTTGTGTGTGTGAAGGGGTGCATGTGTGGGGAGGTCAGAGCCCAACTTGTAGGGGTTGGTTCTCTCCTTTCACCGTGTGGGCCCCGGGGACCAAACTCAGGCCACCAGGCTAGGCAGCAAGTTCCGTTATCAACTGAGTCACTTTGCTAGCTGCAAAAGACTTTTAAAAATGTATTCAGAAGGGTTCCCAGGTTGAAGGATGCACTCCCTTCATTACTAACACTAGTTCAGTTGTTTTCTTCCACCCGGATCCTAGGTTCTAGGAGAAGCCAGGCAGGGCTTCATGGGAAAGAGGCATCCGAAGGTATATCTTTTTAGATACCACCTGCATCTCAAGCAAATGAGGCGTTTTATTTCCTTTGGTGTGCAAGCGTTAAACTTAGAGAATGGTGTGGGGGTGTGGAAGAAGAGTTTCCTTCCGAGCAGCATAGATCGAGTGCCCACCCCCACCCGACTGTGGGCATGAGTGACATGAGGCTCTGCTCTGGTGCACATCCAGACCAGTTCAGACACTCACCGCCATCCTTGGACCAGGGTCTCAGAGACAGATGACTCTTCAAATATTCTAAAGTATTCCAGGGAAGGATCCAGGAGTGGGGCAGGAGCAGCCTCAAGCTGAAGGCATCTCGATCCTCTTTTCGAGTGTTTGCAAACGAAAAGACATCACTGTGTGAGGAGTGTCTTCACCCCTGCAATGGCAGACATAGTTGCTTCTTACAGCAGGAAAACGGGCAGGCAGCTGCAGTGGCTGCATCATTCCTGATGCTACAGGAGTGTGTCTCACCAGTGAGGGGCTCCATGAGAGCATCCTGAACACTTTGTAGACAAGGCCAATGAGGTCAACAAAAAAGAGGTTCCTCACATTGTCTGGGGGCCACTAGGACTTCTGTTCCCAGACCTTCATGGCTGATGCGATGCTCACTGACAAACTCCCTGTCTGTGTTTCCTCTGCTTCTAATGTCTCTCTCTAGATTTTCCAATGAAGAAGTGAGTTCAAACTTTTATAAAATAGAGAAAAAAATCTTTTGACTTTCCAGATTGTGGGAGCTTGGAGAAGCTGTGACATTAATATGATGCTATGCATTGCTAATGGCAGGAGAGGATACCCAAGCTTCCATGAAGTCAGGGAAATACATGGATTAAAATCACACCACCGGGTACTGAAGGGATGGCGGCTCAGAGTTAAGAACGCTCACTGAGTCAGGTGGTGGTGGCACATGCCTTGAATTCCAGCACTCGGGAGGCAGAGGCAGGAGGATCTCTGTGAGTTCAAGACCAACATGGTCTACAAGAGCTAGTTCCAGGACAGGCTCCAAAGCCACAGAGAGCAATGTCTTGAAAAACAAAACAAAACAACAAAAAAAAAAAAAAGAAAGAAAGAAAAGAACACTCACTGCTCTTGCAGAGAACTGAAGTTCAGCTTCCAGCACCCACATGCTGGCCCATAGCCATCTGTAACTCCAGTCC